AGTCCGAAAGATGAGCTCACAGAAACTCCTGCCAGCAATCTACAGGTTTCAAAGTGACTCAATGAAATTGGCCACTTATGTGTGATGGGAACATATAATTGGTCTGAAAATTGTCCTGACTGTTGCAGCTTATGCCAGGGACCTGAAACCCAGCAGAACAGTAGCTTAGTCTCTTTAAAGATATGGTCTTCCACATCTGATCAAAATTACTGAATATTCATGTAAATACTGAGCATGTTTTAGAACATGTGTAGCATACTTCAGGCAGAAACATATGACTTGGCATCCAACTGGCATGAATCAACATGAATTTAAGATTACTCACATAATCCTAATTGCTATGTGCTGTAAGTGGTTTGAGGTTTAAATATAGTAACACACATATTCTACGGGCATATTCAGAAGAGTCACAAAGTGTTCTTTGTTTTTTGAAAAACCGCACTAATGGGTGTCATGAAAGGAAAAAAAAATGGGCAAAATATTCTATTATTTACTTAGCATGTTTACCAGTCTGAAAGAAATCCCCCAGGCATTAGGGTTGAAGTTCCGTGCTCCCTCATTTTCAGTTACACTTACTCCAACGTATTGCTCTGCTAATGACTAGATTAGCAATACTTGTCTGTAACAGTAATTCAGGTGGCAGGATTTAATCTAGGGAACACAGTGGAAAACTTATTAGGAACTAGATTTAAAATCACAGAGATCATCTGGAGAACTGAAGGTGCACCTACACAGCTTACGTGTGCTGCTCATTAATGGGTTGGCATTTTCCCTGCCCTTCCCTCTCTCCACCTTACTGCTGTCCTAAGCTGTATGTTCTCACTGCTGGCCTTGAGTTACGACAACTGCTTATATGGCCACACAGCCAGCCACAACAGGGCATCTCTCCAGCTGACACTGAATCCTACCAAAAAATATACAGATTGGTTCCCAGCCAGCTCAGTTCCTGATGAAGCACTGTAACTATCGTTATTACTCTGAGTTGAGCGCATTTTGCTACTGAAACTGTTCCAATTCATTAAAAAAAAACCCAAAACAGTACAAGAGAAAAAGGTAAGAGAGAAAGCACAGGGATGAGGCATTCCAGATGATCACTTGGGCAGAGGAAGGCTTAGTTTCTGCATTGTAATCCAGTAATGTAGAATACATGAGAAGCCCTGTAAATAAAGTCAGAGTGGTGTATCTGAGTTTGATTCTTTCGTGCCTAGTAACATATGAGGTCTGAACAAAGCTTGTCCTTGTGGTATTTCTGACAACACTCTCTTCTGTTCATTCTTTGATGTTGTATGAAGGTGAGCTCATGCTACATTCTTCCACGCAGTGGGGCACTGCTAAGGTCTTGCTCTTCTTCTCTGTCACCCTTTTCATTAAACTGGAAGAACTTCTTATTCTGGAGACCCCTATTGCTTTGTCAGATTTGGTTGAAATTGGTTGATGTGTTCAATGTTATTCATCAACAAAGGACAGATGGAAGGATGGATGAACATGGACACTTCATCTTACAAGCCTTCTTTTCACAAAAGTCCAGGCTCAAAGGCAGCCTTTGGAACATGGACCAGAATCTGGGGGGCTCCCCCCTCCTAGTTCAATATCCTGACCACTCAACCACTCTTTTTTCTGCTCAGTGAATACTGAAGCCCTCCATGCAGAACAGCACAGCCTTTACAGGAGGGAATGAGAATACCACCTTCTTCCCCCACAACCATCTGTCAGTGCCACTGGTGAACCTGGCTGGAGCTGATGTGGATCTGAGTTTCCTCAGATGCTGATGAGAAGGGGAACCCATCTCCTACCTTTGAAGAAAGGTTTAAATCAAAAGCTTCTTAAAATAAGCAGCACTTCCCTTACATTTGTGTGGTATTTGATCTACTAAGAGGCATTCACGATTCCACAGTCAGTTTAAAACAGCCACTGGTTTCCTACACCTTCCTTCTTCCTTTTTCTGACCCGAGAGACTGGAACTAAGCTATGTTAAAGCTATAGCCTTTGTGCTTTTTGCCAGATTTCTTTGAGTTCAGATCAGTTCCCCAGCTAAGTTCAAACACTTGTGCCAGCTCAAAGGACAACCACATGGAAGTGAGTACTTTCTTGGCTGGAGGTGACCACAACAGGACTACAGCTTTTGACTCGAGTGTAGGGTTACATCCTGACTTTAAGTGACCATGAAATTGTGACTTGACTCAAAGCCCGTAGAGGAAATAAAAGAATACCTAGATTATGGATCTCAATTAGGTTCAGAGGCTGCAGTGCTAGTTAAGTCACAACTGAAACACTAACTAGACAAGGGTAGTGGAAGAACTTCAGGATGATCTTCGGGATGCCTCTGGGGCTTAGGCGCACTGTCTTTAGACTTGGTTGTCTAAACTGCCTTCTGGAGCTGACCTACTGAATGTAGAATCTTACTGTAGTCACTAAACATAACTGTCCTCAGAGTCAAAGGAAATTCCAATACAATGAAGACAGCTATGCTTCAACTTTTAAGACTTCCGAACTATAGGCTTTCTTTTCATCTTACCCTACTTCTACCTTTAAGAAATGAGAATGTCATGTCAATTAAAACAGATGTTAAAAATGATAAGTACAACTAAATACCTATTTTTAGCTAATGGTTAAACCAATTGCCTGATTCCAGCTTTTTAGACGTCTGCTATGGAGCAAAAGTTCCTTTCTGTTGTGCTGCCCCCGGGAAAAATAACAGGATCCTCGGTCTGACCTGTCTGGAATTTCTCAAGTCCGTCTCACGAAATCCTACTGACTTTACAAGAGTAGTCCCTGGCTTGTGCCTGAAGTTCGATTGTGCTAATTGGTGTGTCCTGGATTTTGGGTACTGTAAGGCTGGCTTGTTTCTTCAGGTGAGTTAGTTTCTTATATCTCAAGCAAAACAAATTTTTCAACCACAGGCATGCACAGAATATTGCCTTGGGTATAGCAACAGTTAACTAAGGAGCTAAATTTCTTTGAAACAGGGACCTGAAAAGGAAGGCTTAAGGCAGCTGTAGTTCATCACCGTATCAAGCCACATTAGCTTGGGGCTCATGTTCACAGTATTATTTAAATGACTGTTTTGACCTGAAGACTTGCTTCAGTGCCAGTATTTAGAGTGAGTAGCCAGCAAAATGCTCTTAATAATGTGTTTTCTTCAAACATCTGCTAAAAAGTCTATGTTGCAATAAGAACAGTAAGATCTCATCAACAAGTTATTGACAAATTGAAACTTTGAAATGATAACAATTAGTTGAGAGGATCTAGTGTATTTCTGGCATAGTAACTCACATTGCTTGCTGATTCCAATTTCCAAGTTTTATCTGAAATACTGGGAACTGAGTATTATGAAATTGCTACTAATATGAATCTGATTTTCCGATGTCATAGGAACCAGAAACTTTAAATTAACAGGCTTTGCAGGTCCTACATATGTAAAAATTGAAACCTACTTCTTTTCTGATGCAGCAGCTGCTTTTATACCACAGACAAAATGCCCTTCATGTGAATAATAAAATGCCAGCTTTACGCTGGGAAAATGGCCGTATCTGGATCTTAAATTGGAGAGCAATGCAAAGTGCAGACTGAAGACCAAATATTGCTTGGATTGAATATAATTTTGTTGACCTTCTGTGGCAAGTTCTTCCATCAAATCTCTTCTCCCAGAGAGAAAGTCATTTAATATTTTACCCACTGGTGCATTTTCTTTTCTGTGAATTGTATTTATTATTTATTGGTGGTCTTCCTGCTTCACCTTCTGAAAGCTATTCCAAACCACTGGGTCCTTTACAGCTTGCTGTGGTGGTTGAGGTATTATACAAGCTCTAAAACCCTCATTTATCAATCTGCTCGGCTCCATTTCTTTTGGTTGTGACTTTCATCTGTGGAAATTGATCACTTAATGGAAATGCCCTTTAATAACTTTACTGTTATTAAACAATCATAACAATCATTGGCAACCACACCATTTCCATGCTGGAACAAGTCCTTCAAACATGCTTAAAAATGCAAACATATAAATGAGGAAATCACAAAGAGGGAAGGAAAAATGATGAATCGCCATGGTATTGTGAGGCGGTCTAAATATTTAAGACAAAATATTTCAAACAACTGAGCATTGAGAGTAACTTCCATACCAAACCCTATCTCTTCCACTGTCTGTACCCGAGCTGTGCCTTTTGACAGCCATTTCTGCCACCAGCACTCTGCGCTGATTTCCCCTCTAAGACATAAGGACGCTTGGCAATTAAGGTTTAAATATAGCACAAGTTCATCCAACCAGGAAAACTGAAAACCTAGTGAAGTCAATGGAGTGACTTGCTCCATAGCCTTTAGTGGTCTTTAGCAGGCACAAATGGACTGTATTGATTTTAGCCAGATCAATGTTTCTCAAGCTTTTTCTAAAGACTAAACACCTTTTGTCTGACTTGCCTTCATCCGACTCCTGAGCTGGCAGGATCCCAGTGTGTTTAAGTCAAGGACCTGCTGTAAGGACTGTCTACAAGTGTTAACTCCCTCCAGAAGAAATAAGCTGCTTAGCACTGCATCTGCCGAACATTGTGCAACCTACCTACCCCCTTGAATTTTGTAACTGCCTTGAGAAAGCAGCTCACCACTGAGAAATGCTGATTTGGATGGGAGACTTCTAGAGAGATGGCTGGTCACACGGTGCCCATCCTTTCTCTCTTCCCCTCCTTCCTGCACCCCAGGTACTGGCTTTGCCTAAAACAGGACTGCAAGTGTGCTGTCTCCTGGCATTGCTTCCCTAGGACATGTGGCATCTCAATAACGTGATCACAGGCAGGAAGGAACGTGCCCCATGCAGTAGCAAAGGTGGAAAGTGATCTGTTAAGGTGGAAGACAATCTAGTAAAAGTGACCAAACTTCCTTTGGTCTGTTAAAAAGCGACCAAGTCTATCATTAAGAATTCCTGAACTAGATGAATAACCGAGTGCAGTTGCCCCATTCTCACTTCCTAGGCTGAAAACCTTCCTGGCATACAACTGCCTTTTGGATGGATTTTTTTTTCTTTTTTAAACTTCAGTAAGAAAACAAAAGGATGTTGTTACTTAAGTAGTCGGTGCACACACTTATTAGTTTGTTGTAAGTGACAGCTGCAGGACTCCATTAGTACAGGCAAACGTGAGCAACTACACAGACAGGGGTCTGACTTCCATGGTAGCAGTAAAATCTGCAGAACATACCCCCTGAGCCACTGCCATCAGCCCTGACCCCCGCCCAGGGAGGCAGAGCTGCTGGCTGAAGATTTCTTCAGTTCTATTTTCATAGACTGAGTCTCGGCACGAGGCTCGAATTTTGCCACATTTCCTGCTCCTGGGGCTGTCACTACTGGCTTTCCTGCTTTCATACCTTTTGACACAGGAATGCGGGTGGGTGTAGGTCTCGGGGATGACCCATCCTGTCCTGTCTGCAAAAGAGAGAGACAGAGAAATTACATGAATGGAGGACTTTTTCTTCTCATTATATGCACATATTATACTTTGAATTGCAAGATTCTTCATTTACCACTCAACAAACGATGTCCCAAGTCACGCCTATTAGCAAATTAATGTTCACTCCTGAAACCTGGCTGTAGCACATACTGCTAGAGGAGGGCCAAAGGTATTGTCAAACGAGTTTCCCAGAGTTGAGGTCCGATGTTTTGGATCAAGATGACATAGGGATGGGAATCCCTGCAAAACTCTGATTCCACAGCATGACACAGTGCAGGACAGCCTTAGACGCTACCGAAACAGCGGCTCAGCTGTCAGATAGGTACAATATTACTGTCTTGCACAGAGACTAGCATGGGCCCTCAAAACAGTACAGCCATGTGAAGCTAATGCTGAACCCACAGTAACTGCCATACTTTCAGAGCTGGGGCAATATTTCTCAGCATTATAGATAAAATTGAACTTTGCTTCCCAAAGTATGCCAGGGCCATGGCTGGGGCCACTTATTTCTGCACTGGGAAGTGCAGGGGGCTGGGAGACAGAGACAGAGCAAAGATTTGGATCTCCTTTTACTGTGGCTGAAGGAGGAGGGATGTGAGAGAGGGCTCTCCCACTCCAAGCCCTAGCCACAACTTGATGAACTCTGGAGAGGGTGAAGGAGGGCAGCCCAGATTTCCAGGGACACCTCAAGGCCGTGCGGATATGGTCAGTTTACTGTCACTGCCAGTCTACTGGCCTGGACAACAACCCACCAAGCACATGTATCCTCAAGTTTGAGGACTTCAGAATAAAAAAAAAGATAAAATAGCCTAAGTGGTTGAAGACCCAAGCATGGGGCTGGCAGATCCAACATGGCTCCTACCAGGGATCTGTGCCCTTCTGGAGCACCAGCTAGAGCCAGGCCAGCTATCCAATAGCTTTGAAAATGGCAATCAGTACTTACATTTAGGCAACTAAATCTCACTGTGTAAACACACAAGGAGCATTTGGATAGGACAAAAAGATTCAAAAGGGCCAACTGGTATTTTCTGTCTCCACTGGCCAGATAATGTTGCACATACTCTGCAAGGCCAAAACTGGAAGCTACCTCTTATGGACCACGACCAAAAGAAGATACTTAGAGCCATGACAATTCTGAAAGGGAAATGTGTTTTATCTTCTGCAGTGTGCAATACAGACACAAATATTAATGGTGACAGCTTGACTGTCTCAGCTGAATTTCATATGTGGCTTTTTCTGTTCAGATAATGGATGAAGACTTTGATCTCACAAAAGAGAACACTTTTCATAAAATCCTGGAATCCTAGCTAGACCCATTTGCCAAATGACTAAATTCTGCAACTTATGACATGCAAGCAAAATAAAACTAAACTGCTGAAATAGACTGGACTAGGGGATCACATCAACTGCAACATGTATTTGCACATTTATTTAAAAATGCTTTTAAAAATGCTCCACGGAGGAGTATTCTTCTCCCTCAAAGGATTTCCAGCCAGTAGCATCAGAGCTTTCTGTCTGCATCCTGAGTATTCAAAGGAAAACTATTCCTTAATCTTCTAAGAACAGCTCAAAACCCCATGTGTACACACACACAAAAAAAAATCACAATTGGAAAACTTGAATGCTGTCTGCCTGGCAGGAAGGAAGCCATTTTCAATAACTAAAAGCAACATTTACAATAGCAGTCTAAAGGCTAATATGGAACTCACATGTAGATGTCAAAACAAGTTAGGCCCATACAATTCTGTAGGGCAAAACATGCAAATGCATTCCATCAGCCTTGGAAAATATGTCAACATGCCAGGGAACCCAAATGACAAACATCTTGTACTCCCTGAAAGAACTCCACAGTGTGTAAACATGAGGCAGTCAAATGAAGTAGCTGGAATCTCAGGCATTTCTTCAGCTGTATTCACATGTAAATTATTAACTAAGGATTTGGGCGCTTTCAAGTTACTCATTTCAAGCCTAAATCACTCAAAAGCACTTTGAAAAGAACTCTAACTTGCTTCAAATGTCCTAGTTGCCTTCCTTACGCATACTAACATGTTGATCATATGGAAGCTAATGCCTGCTTCACACGCAGCTGCAAAAAAGCATTTTGTGTTTGCTAAGTGAAATGGCACAAAGGTGGCTCTTCAGCAAGAAGAAGTTCTTTGGCGAGACTGATGGGGTAAGCAAGCAGAGGACACTCTCCAGTACGTGTCTGTAGTGTCTGTGGCAGAGAACCCACACGACTGTCTGTCTCTTGGTCGTTTCCTCCAAGACCCAACCTCTAAGCAATTCCCTCCAGCCCTGTTTGTCTGTGGGCTGCTGTCTTCTGGTTGATACATGAATGTGGCTCCAACCAGAAACCAACTCTTACACAGCTGGCAGGGAGTGCCCGAGACGAGCCCCACAGGATGGAGCAGTGCTGGCTGGCTCTGTGCGGGCAGTACGTGGTGCTGGAACAGCACAGGGGGCCAGAGCGAGGTTATTAAATACCTTACTGAGGGTGAGATAAATACACACAGCCGCTAAGCTGGTTAGGTCAATAACAAGCACTCGCTGCAGACACTGAGGTTGCAGTAAGGTTGGACAGTCCCATTGAAGGAAGAAAAGCAATTTGAAAATACAGAACATTTAGCATATTCTAGTGGTTTATAACAGACCCTGCTTAGTGCATTTAATTAGGATATAAAAACAGTGCTTTCATGCACACATTTACTTTTGGAATACTTTCATAACAAAGGTACTTTTTCAGTTCTTGACCAGACCAGGGACCAGTTTGCCCTGCACAGAAATGTTTCAGTTCAGTGGTTCACACAGGCATCCAGTGCAATTTGAGATGCCCTGGGCTACTCAAGCTGTCTGCACAGGGCTGGTAGATAAGACAGAGGACCCTAAGAGACCTGCAGGCTCTGATAAAGCAGCTGGAAGTCAGGTAGGCTACTTGATAGCACTTAAAATGACACTGAAGAAGTACATTTAGGCAACTGAATCCTGAAATGGTGGGACTTGAGATCTAGTCAATACATTTGGTGGAGCCCAGTGGGCCATTCAGCTCACACTGAAGCTAGCAGCATCTCAGCTGAATCACCCTCCAGTCTCCACGGAGCCAGCACACAAGGCTCAGTGCAGACAGGAGACTGATGACTATGGACTGACTTAGTTGCTCCCACTGAAGCATCTTGTGCCATCTGAGGTATCCCATCAGCTTCCACTGCTGAAAGGTACAGATCTGTGTTGTACCTACGAGTCTCATGCATGTGTCTCAGCTGCCACAGGGCACGCAGATAGCACCATCCCTCTCTATATGGGCAAGTGAGCTGACCCCTGGACCTCCAGTAACTCTAACAGAAGCTTAGAGCATATATGGGACACCTTCGGTTGGACTCAATGATCTTAAAGGTCTTTTCCAACCAAAACAATTCTATGATGCTATTCTACTACAAAGAATTAAATTTAGATGTCCATCTTAAACTAAATGCTGCCCAAACAAAAGTGGCCTTATAGCTGCTTTAATGTGTGCCCAGTTAGTTCTGGCATTCATGAGCCTTTCAGCCGTGCCTTGCTGCCTTGGTCACAGGCTGCTCTGCGTGTTTGGTGCTGTGCCACTACCCTGGCTCTGCTGCAGCTGGGATTCCCTCTGCTCCCTGCAGATTCGCATGTCACCAGATTCACTGTGTACCCTGGCAGTGTAAACAGCCAGCGCTGGATGCCAGTCTTGTAAGAGGTGGGAAACACAGGGATGAAGCGATTATAGTACTGACACCCATCCTGGTAGCCAAAGAAAATACAAATTCATCAGCAATCCCACAGCCAAAGGTAAGGTTTAAATCAAAAAAACAGGCTATAGGCACCAGGATTGTTTTGTTGGTTTTTTGTTTTTTGTTTTTTTTTTTCCCCAAAGAACATTTGTTTTTATTCTGTGGGGTTTTTAATGTAAACTATACGAATTGTCCTGAGAACAGGGACTTGGGCTAATGTGCTAAGGTAAGACTAACAACCAGGCTACAGTTTCAGGCTCATTTTGGTCTGCATATCTGCATATCCTCTGGTCTCATAGTCTTGAATTTTTGGTTGTGCTGTGGTCCATCTGTAATAAAAAAATTATCTTCTAGGTCTGCTAAGGTAGTTCAAGTATTTTCCGGGGAGTGGGTTTGACTCTAATCAAGCTAAGGAGGACCAAAATTCAGGTTTTTACTATAGAAGTAATGGTCTAATAGTCTCCATCGCATCAGCACTGGGGTCCGGGACACACCAAAGCTCCTGGAGACCCCTGTGGGACTGGACCATGCTAGGTGGCAGCGCTGCTGTGAGGAGGCCAAACACTCAGCTGGCCAGCACTGGGCTGTGCAGCAGGCAGAACACAAAGGTGCCTCCAAAACTTTTGGGTCCAGCAAGTTCAGGTGCCAGTGGAGACAGTCACTGACTGATGACTTTTTTTTGTTGATCATTTTGGTTAGGTGCTCAAAAACTTCCCAAATTCTCCTTCAGGTGCCCATGTCTTTCTTTGAATCAGGTTCTCATTTTATCTAAATCAAAACCGTTGCAGACTCAGAGACGACTTGGATCACGGCAATATAAATCTGTATCTATTCTAGAGTGTATGTCAGTGTAAATCAGCCCAACCATAATACCCCTTAATACGTGAGATTCAAAAATCATGATGGTCCATCATGAAACCACAGTCTCTGGTTTTGTACTCACATATGCAGGGAGACACCACAGCTCAGGCTGAACCTTTAAAAGTACCATGTGTGCACCTTAAAATTAGCTTCACCTGCAGTACTGAAGATAACTCTATAAATTCAAATTCGACGAAGAGTTAAATGTTTTCAAATATGAAAACAGTAACTCCAAATTTGTTATAGCAACAGATGAGAGCTAGGAATTTCAGAATTATTTTCGGCTTTGTAGGCTGGCACCGCATTAATACATTGTACAAAACACCTTCTCTGAGAAGAGTTAAGACAAAAATTAACACCAGTGAGCTAATAAAGCAGCTGTGTATCAGTTTGTCATCTTTGATTTTATGAACTTAAACCTTAAAAATTCTACCAATGTTAGTTTCTCCTAGGGTTACTGAGTAAATGACCACAATTTGTTTTTTCTGACTAGGGGTATTTGAAATGTGTATTCATTTGCAAAACAGATGGTGAATATACAACTTCTTTTTTTTTTTTTTTTCTTTTTTTTCTCCAGAGGATTAGGGAGGGAAAGGCACATTTGGGGTTGTTCAAAGTTCCCTGTTCATCTGACTAGGGACCTTAAAAAACAAAGAGAAGCATAAGATAAAGTAAATCTTATGGCTGAACTATTTTCCTTACATTCCAAATCAGGGAGGATGAAGTGAAGAAAGAAGCCACTTTTTAGCCAGAAGAAAACAAAACAAAAAAGTTTTGTCTGCCACAGTTCAGTGCATCATCACAGTAGAGACAGACATCTAGTAAAAAAGAATGAGGACTCTTAAAAAAAGGTTCTCCAAGCTTCTGAGAGACAAAGGAGTTTGTAAATTAATCAATTCAAGACTTCTTAAAAAATTAACGTGTAAGAAAACGCTGTAAAGTATCTACAGTACATTATATATATGGGGAGAGAGAGAGATCACATGTGCAATCACAAATAGATCCACATGACAAATATAAGTTTTTTAAAGTCAGGGAGCTTACAGGGGAATGGCAGCCTCTCTCCAAAAGTGTGGAAGTAGATCTTAAATACACTTTGACACTTCAGCTTGGAAAGAGATGCCTGGAGAGGCGTGTTGTAGGGGTCTGCAGACTCCTGAGCAGCATGGACATGTGAACAGGGGATGACTATTCAGTATTTGTCAAGATACAAGAAAGAGGCTGTAACCAATGAAGGTATTGCATAAAAGGTATCAAACAAAAGAACATTTTTCCCAGAGCCCACAACCAAATTCACTGCCCCCTGATGTTGTGGAAACAACAGTATAAATGAGTTCAAAAAGCAATTAGAAGAATAAATAGAAGAAAACTCTGCCACGGTCTATTAAACACAAAGATGTGGCTACAGGCCCCGGTTCAGAATGAAATACCACCTATTGCCAAAAACTGGGAACAGACGCAGAGGGAAACATTACTGCATGTTTACCCACTTAAAATAATCTTCCCCTAAGCATCAGCTACAGGCTCTGTCTAGCTAAATAAGCTTTTGGACTAATACAGTACTGCTGGTTTTCTACTTTGGTTAAAATGCTTCTTTCCCAGGGTATTTCCAACTAAAGCAAGGCAAAACCATGTCCAATAATAAACCTGGGGGGAGGATGATCAATACATATTGTCCAATATGTTTAAAGACAGAGGTGAGACACTGATTTAAGTATGAAAAAGGAGCTGAGGTACCATCACAGAAGCACAGAGAGAAAGCAGCAAAAGATATGTTAAGAGGAAGCACTATTGTAACACAGCACTTAGAGAAGTTGAGAATTTCAGAGGAACAGCAAGAGCTTTACTTTACACTGGCTGGAAGAGGCCTGGAGCTGTAAGCAATGATACCATGTCTGCCTATTTATTCCTTTGGAGTTCAGTATTATGGCAGATATTAATTGAGTTATAACTATAATGGGATTATACCAAAGAAATACCAGCCTGTGTGATCAGACTCTAAAGAGCTGCCAGCTGGGCCAAAAATCATTATGAGTATTTTCAGAAGTCAGAAATTGCACTCACCAAAAAGAAAAAAATAACAGTTTCCTGCTCTCCAATTTGCATCATTCTTTGTCCTTCTCTGTCTCTCACTTGCAATTTTGTAGGACTGCCGTTATGAAAATGACTTTAAAGGAACTTTGAAGGGACTTCCTTTGAAACTTACTCCTTTGGGAGATAATGCCAAAAGCATAACAGCATTCAGCACTGGTACAAGAATATATGAATCAGGCAAATTCTGATTTTATAGTTAAGTTCGTAGCTGAAACAAATGTAGGGAAGTGAAGAAGTTAATGTCTATAAGTATCTGAAATTTGAGGGCCAAATGGATGGGGCTGGGCTCTTTTTGTTGGTGGCTGATGACAGGACAAAGGGCAATGGGCAAAAACTGGAACACCGGATGTTCCATACAAACTTAAGGAAAAATTTATTTACTGTGAGGGTGATAGAGCACTGGGACAGGCTGCCCAGAGAGGTTGTGGAGTCTCCATCTCTGGAGATGGTCAAAACCCGCCTGGACACTTTCCTGTGCAACCTGCTGTAGGGAACCTGCTTTGGCAGGAAGGTTGAACTAGATGATCTCCTGAGGTCCCTTCCAACCCCGACCTTTCTGTGATGAGTTTCTCCTCACCCCACCCATTTTCCCTGCTGATGTCTCAAATGCAAACTATGGTTGTCCTTCTCACCATGAAGTCTACATCATGACACTACACTGCTTACCACTGACTGTGTTCCTCGAGTGGAAGACGTTGTAACAGGCGTTATAGTGATAGTACTTGTCACCTTGCTTGCTGCAGGTCGCGAGGACAGGTTGTTCCGGGGTGATCGAAGGACAGTACCAGTCACAACTTCTTTCTCCGCTGCTATGTTCACCGGTCTGACTGTTATCACAGGACTTGCACCATCAGGTGCAGCACTGGGAGAACGTTTAAACTGGGAACCCAAGTGGATGTGGATTTTATTGTCTTCTGTTGTGATAATGTTGGCGTTGGCATTGTACTTGCGGATTGGAGTCGGGACGGTCTGTTTTTCTGGTGTTACTTTGAAGACAGCCCTTCCCATGGTCATATCTTGTGATTGTGGAGAGACAGAGATTTCTGCCGGTGCTGCGGATGTTGATACCGTCATAATCTGAATTGGCGATGCAGGTCTGTCGGCGAAGGGTGCTCTCCCTCCCTCTGGGGACTTTTCCCTGGCAAATGTTGTTATAGTGACTGGAGACATAGAACGATCTGGGCCCAAGGGACTTTCACTGCCTTTTCCTTTTTGTGGCATAATGTTTGGAGAAGGAATGATGGTTATTCGTGGTTTCTGATTTCCCAAAGTAGGAATGACAGTGGTACTTGAAAAAAATTCCTCTGAGGTTGGACTGGTTATCTCCAAAGTAGCTGTGCTGTTCTCATGGTCTGGTGTCACCCGAATATGAAGAGGTTGACCCTGCTTTGGTGAAAGGACCACCTCCCCAGGATGCGCTGAACTTCCATGGGTTCGGGCTCCTTTATCCTGAGCCCCATTTTCTCTCTTTCTCATCCATGGTATCCAAGATTTCCTCATTGCAAGTTCATTCGCTGCTGGAGGATATCTCTCAAGCACTGAAGAACGCTCCATGGGTTTTTTCAGACCTACCTGTCGCAGATTGCTCATGATGTGATTCTCCTCCTGGAAGGATTTCCTTATAAACACTGCTGGAGTTTCTTCTTCTGCTGCTTCACTGCTTACAGCATCTGTTTGCACACCGGTGGATGTCACGGGGACATCGACCATTCTTCGTCCATTTATGCTGGGCCTCAGAGCACGGCTGTAACGCTTAGAAAGCTCCAGCTCTCTTGTTAGGTTCAGAACTTCCTGCCCCATGCTCTTGTTTTTATTTTCTTCTTCCATAAACCTTTGCTGCAAAACTGAATAATCAACTTGGAGCTGAGAAAGCTGGTCTTCTTTGTTCATCAGCTCATGGATTTTTTCCTTAAGAGCTTGAACTTCTGCTTTCAAATCTCTGCTTTTGGCTTCTTCCAGACGAAACCTGTGCCGCAACTCTGCCTCCTGGCTCACTGCTTCACCTTTTTCTATTGCTTTGGTTTTGGCAATCTGGAGCTTCATCTCCTCCAGCTGTTGAGAAAGAAAGTTAGCTTTATCCTGCTCAGTCCTAAATTTCTGCTCTAGCTGATCATATTCATCTTCTGTCTTCATCAAATCTCCTTCAACTACTTCCAATTGTTTGAGACGTTTTTTCAGTCTTTCAATTTCAATGGTAAGTTCTTTAATCTTGTTGTCCTCATGACAACAATGCTCTGGTCCCTTCCTGGCTCGACCTCTTGTAATTTCTCTTTCTACTTCCTCTATACCATCAACTCTCTTCTTTAACAGGTCAACTCTACAGCTTAGTTCAGAGGATTTTTCTTCTTCACTTCTCAGTTTGCCAATTAACTCATCCCTCTCTTTTGTCAAACTAGATACTTTTTCCTCCATTTCGGATTTCAGTTTCAAAAATTTCTTACTTTCTTCTATCAGTTTCTCTGTTACATCCATAACTTTCCCTTGTTCAACTTTAAAATTCTTGCTCAGACCCTCAACCTTTTTTTCCTCCTGTTTTATTTTTTCCATCATATTTTTTCGTTCATCAACCAACATTACAGTAAATGACTTCAGCTTTGTAAGGTCATCTTTTAAGCTTATTTCAGCCTTTTCCAACTTGCTTTCTGATGCCTCAAGGTCTTTCACACGAGTCTTCACCACTTCCAACTCATTTATCAAATCCTTAGTCAAATTTTTTTCTTTCTCCAAGTTTAAGTGTAGCTGGGTGCATTCAGACTTACTTTTACTGAAAGCCTCTTCCAACTTCTCTAGTTCTGACATTCTTTTCTGCAATTTTTCCACTTCAAGTTTCAACTCTTTGCTATGGTGCTCTTCCTCTTGCAGTTTATTTTTCAGCTCTTTACACTGGGATTCAGTTTTTGTGATCTCTTCATCCTTCCCCTCCATTTCAAGTACACGCTTGCGGAGGTTTTCCACTTCTGCCATTAAGCTAGAGTTCCCACATTCCCCTTTTGCTATTTTATCCCTTAGTTCCTGAAGTTCCTCCTCAGCTTTTTGAAGATTTTTGTTAGTTTCTTCTAGCTCCTCTATTCTGCGAGTCAACCCCACTACCTTAAGCCTTAGCTGTTTATTATGTGACTCTTGATTAGCCAGTTTAGCAGTCATCTCCTCATGTTCTTGAGAAAATGATGATGTTTTATGTTCAAGTTCTGCCTCCAACTTCATCAGTTTTTGTCCATCTTCTTTTGTTTTTGCACTGATAATTTTAAGCTTTTCTTCTTCTTCTTTTAGTTTTTGATTTAAGTCCTGTATTTTCTGGCTTTGTTGATCAAGTTGTTCAATATGCATTTGTCTTTCATCCACCAGCATGAGTGCAAATGATTTGAGCTTGACTAGTTCTTCTCTTAGTTTGTTGAGTCTCTTTGTATGTTCCTTCTCCTTCCGGGCTTGATAAATCTTCTCCTGCTCAAGAAGTTTCTTCAACCTGAAACAAGTTAGAAGAGATGCATTAAACTAATATATATCTATATATTTTGGTGTATTTCTCCATTTTTTAATAATCACCTTCATTTTCTCAATTTTTTTTCATTAATAACCTAGGTAGTCTTTCAAGAGATAACTACCTACTACAGTTACATTCCCAAACCAAATATTTTAAATTACAAAAGTTAATTGAAAACTATACAAAATAATCTAGAAATCTGAAAAGCACTGAAATTTTATACGTGTATAGATAACAAATACATCGGGTTTTCATTCCTTTAGTTATTCCTCTGTTAGAATGATATTGGTAAAACTACAGTCATATCCCAAAAGGACAGGTATATCTACTCACCAATCTATTTCTATCAGACTTTTTTTACAAGGTGGATTCTTCCTTACGTCTTGCATACACAAAAATGTGTAAAATAAGACAACAAATGAAAACTAATTGCTATATGCAGCCATACATAAATGGATCAATCCTGGCTATAAATAAACCAGCAGGACAGAAGATTACATTCACACACAACTGATAACCATCTGGGCATCACAGGCATAAGAAATTATCAGGGAGATAAATTTGCCAGCGCAGTGACTATTATGTTAAAAGGTTTGTTCTTCCAGGCACGTTTCCATTTACAAAAGTAGATTTTGTGGACTGCAAGGGTCAGACTAATCAAATTTTTGGTTACAACTAACCTTAGCTGGAAAATGCTCTTTATATAGTCTGTAAAGCTGTATTTGCAGACAATTGTAAAAGCTTGTGATAGACAAAGTAGGTGTATCCTCAGAAAGATAATAAAGACCTAAATTTTCTAGCCTTACCCATGTAACATTTCAACAGAGAAACTGTAAGCAATAAGTCTTGTATATCCTGATTTATATTCAGGATATGTTGACATCGGCACATGAGGTGCCTGCACATACTGTAAGCACAGATTTATGAGGATGGTGATACTCAACTGACAGAGGTACAGATAACATGTAACAGCCCTATGGTAAAAGCAGCAGTACGACTTGGAAAAGAAGACACAGGTATGCGTGCTGAATTTACTGTGAAATGACATGTTTTTCTAACCACTGACAAAGTACCTGCAACTCCCATATCCCCTATCAAGACACGTGTGATGATTTAAATCCACTTGCTTTGCTCACCCTATGTCTGAAACTTTCAACTTCTTTGTACCCGAGACACCCAGTGGAGTGATAATAGCAGAGCAATTTACCACCTGTGAACTGACTTGCAATAACTGGAACATCCATATCTTAGCAAAGATTAATTTTTATCAGTATTTTTATCTTAAATGCTGGACTACAGATGATAGTGGGTGAAGCACAGACATACATTCCTCTCTGCTGCTCCAGCAGTGAAGTGGTGCAAAGAGCTCTGGGGCACAATGTTGTACACAAAGGATGTCTCCCAGAGCCCTCACCTGAACTCTAATCTCATAACAACAGCCATATTAACTTGGTCTTCCAGCAACTGTTAATGTTTCACTCATTCCTCAGGGATCAGAACGAACAGGAACTGGAAAGAAAAGCTATAAGAAAAGAGAAGGAAGTCAGAAAGCAGAACACAGGATGCAGTAGGTAGGGAAGGAGAAGGCTGAAGAATGCATATGAAAACAAGAGTCAGATAGGATGTGGGAGTAAGAGAATAGTAGGAACCAGCCGGAGAGAGAAAAACAAACAAACCTTACAGCCAACCTTGCTGGGTCACAGATTATTCTCAAAAAAACCCTCTTTAGTTTTGGCAGATCTTTGGAAAGGACTGAAAAGGCATGCTGGTGGATGCCTTATTATGGGTCAAGTTAGAATGTCAAAAGGTAAAAAAAACCAAACCACTGCCACTTACAGAGCATACACTTTTCACACTGAAGAAAGAACTTCATTAGCATGTATTATATTCCCTGGCTGCTCTATCACACTGCTTCATGCAAAAGTTTCTGCTAAGAACTCTCCCTCATCTCCCCGAGGCTAATTTTTAAAGAAATAATATATATCTTTCCACAAAATATTATTTGCCACAACAGAACAGAGTGCCCTAACTTGGTCATGCTTTAAATGACACATCTCCCAAAGTCATGAATATATATACAAGAATACAAGACCTTCAAAGCAGAGAATGTTTCCAGCCTCCCTGGTCCCACATGAAAATTTTAAGGTGACCCCTATAAATTCAAAAAACAGAAGACAGCATTTTGTTTTCTTTTTAACAGTCTTCCTACTTGAAAGCCTATCTAGAGATGCTCAGAAAACTGCCTATGATTTTGAATTCCTAGGCTGTTCATAAAGGGCACGCATGATTTTCACCCAGCAGTTGCTACAGGTGGTACATGCCAGCTGGGCTGCTAAGCAAAAGTGCAAAACAATTCACTGGCCCCACATGGCCTCACGATTACCTGAGAGTCTACAGGGAAATACTGCCAAGAAAGCCACTGAAAAAAACCCCAAATATCTGTTAAACTAAGACAAAGAAATGCCAAGGATGAGACTAAGCAACAGGAGAAGAAAGCACATGAGCACTGTCACCGCCTTGCTGTACCTAGCAGGAGAGTTAGCAGTGGGGAATAACTGGCCTGGCCCCACTGGGAAAAGTGAAAATAAAGCCCTGTAACTGTGCCAATACATGGAGGTGAATTTGCTAACATGTCTGTGCTGAACGAGGTAGGAAGCACTGTGCAGCAATTTATCCTGCCTCAGCTTCTACACAGTGAAACTCACCTGCTTAAGATTTGACAAGCAAACTTTCGCAGTAGATTCTTAACAACACTTCTGTTTTCCATGTCCAGGGAAACCACTTGTAAAATCTGGTTCTGTGAGGGATGGGTGGGAAAGCAGCATCCAAATCTATGCAGATGCCAAAGTAATAAACAAAATCTACATCTTTTCAGTGTTACTGCTAAACACTAAAATAAAGCTGAGTTTAAGCTTGCTCCTGCTTTTCCATCCCTGTAAAACTCTCGTATCTCAGTAGTTAAAGTGGAATTTCAGCAGGTTTTTGCAGGATAGCAAGGTGATGTTGTCCACTCTCGACCCTTACAAGTGATTTATTATCAGAGTTCTCATCTGACCCGTGCTGCTTTAGCTGTTTGCTAAGTAATGCAGACCTGCATGGGCTCTGATGCAACACTGAAAGCACCTCAGAGACTCAGAGCATGTGCATCTTCAGTGTGTTATCCAGAGCAACTGCACTCTGGATTGTCAAGAGGTTGAAAGCACCTGTATTCAGGGTCAAAATGAGAGGGGAAAGGGAGAGGGAGAGGGAGAGACAGCTCTAATAATAAAACATGGAGCTAGATACAGCCAAAACACTGACAAGTCAACAGTTTGGTACCCTCAGTTCAGTCCCTGTATGTGCTGTCTCAGTTTACGTCTTTTTAGAGATGGGGAGAAATATCTACATAAAATTGGATAATCTGCATTCATCATTAAGAGTCCCAGGGGTTTAGCATCCAGACTGCAGTGAGGAAGCAGGCAGATCTGCTCAGGTTCTTTGTGGAGAGGGTATTGTACCACTGCTCATCTGTGGAAAGAGGTCTGTGCAGGACCTCTTTTCCCCACAGGTTACCAAACATACTATGTCAAAACATGCAGCCGTAGTCATTCCCTGAATACATGGTCTTCTGCTGACATGAGGGTCCAGGCAGCCTCTCCTTCTCCTTGCTATCTGTCCTCCCCACAGTATTTGAAAAACGGGTACCCTACAGCTATCCAGTGCTCAAGATGATCGCACTCCCCCTTTACAGAAAATCAGATAAATAAAATAGCAAACCCTTATGTATGAACGCGTACAAAGTGTTAACTGCCTCAGTTAGAAACAAACACCCCAGGACAACACTGTTCCCTGATTTTGTACCACAAAGGAAGATGCCTCTGATCCTGACTAGCATGGGGTGGGACACTGGCCTACAAAAGCTACTGATGCAACCTCGCATGGTCCCTGCTGCATGGGGGAACTGCATCTCCCACATCCCTCCACAGGCTGTTCACAGCCACTCCAGGCAGCAGGAGGGAGGTCTGTGGGCAGCACTGCTGGGGAGTTAGGAATGTGAAGACTTTCAACAACCAATCTCAGCTTGCAGAGTGGACACCAGAGTGGAGAAAGAGCAACTATGGACTTAGTTTTAACCTCCTTCATGAACAGTGCTCTGGAAGCAACCATTGAGGAGGAAGGTGGGAGTGGATGGGCAGTAACCAGGCCCTCCCCGTCTTCCTTCCTTTGATGCTGAAGCATTTAAATGCCTTCTGCTTCCCCTTCCCTCCTCCATGCTTCAGACTGATCATCAAAAGCACAATGGGATGCTGATAG